GCCAACTCCACCACCAACATCAGCTCATTTCCAGACCATTTCTGTTTCTTTGCTAGGTGAAGATCTACTTGCAGTTGAAAACCATCATTTAGGCTAATTTTTCTCCCATATGGAAAAAGTGAGCTGGTGTAACTCAACCATCACATGACCAACATGCAGGGACAGAAGTAAAGTAAAAAGGCAAAGAATGAACATTTATGAGGCCTTAGCACATGAAGCTAGGTGCTTGTAATGGATTATGTTATTTGTTCTTTATAAAACCTTAACACTAACCCATTTTACATATGAAGAAATCAGGCAAATTAATTTGTCTAAGTCCACAGGAATGGCTAGGGTGACCTTAAACACTGCTCTTCAGAGATGCTCCAGGCAAATTCTTGGGAAGCCTTAGCAACAAAAGCACCTCAGCACAGGACACTGCCCAAGAGGAGGCAGAGAGATGGTGCACAGGAAATTGTTCTCCAGAGAATGGACAAGTGATGCCATCTCCCCAGAAATCCACAGTCACCTGTGGAGGGACAGAAAAAATTTCTCTTCTTCCCTTTCAGGTGCTTTGGCTGGTCTAATAATTAATTTAATGTAAAATGGATAAACAGGAGAACAACAAATTTTGTATGTAATATAGGAACCCTATAGAAATATGAGACTCTCCAGATGGGTACTAGACTTATCAGGTGATCCTTTCATAAGATATATAAATATCTAATCATTGTATAGTATACCTAAAATTAATATAATATTGTATTTCCATGCTGATTGATTAAACTAAAAAAAATTTTAAATATTTGAAACTTCCCAGCAGTCAGGTAACTGAGGCTTATATGCCATCCTGAGCTAAGTGGAAAGGGTAAGGGCCTGTGGCTCCAAAGGGGAGAAAGACAATTCACAAGAAGATACAAAGAGCAAATGTTTGGCAAGCAGACATCTGCCATACCATGCAGATAGCCTTTATGATATAAAAGTTATCTCTGATCGTAGTTAGGAGGGGCATAGAAGGCTCTTCCTAAATCTGCAGGGCCCGGATTGTCTTCATCGTGATATAGTCTTTATGCCAAGGTGGCACATTCCAAGGTGGTATATTCTGCTTCCCCTCATCTACAACATTCCCAGGGCTGTTTGGTTACACCTAGCCTTCACAACAGCAAAGGGAACAGCCTAGCTTTAAACTAGAAAGTTTAAGGGTGTTATAATATCATTTTTGTAGTGTCTGCATGAGTAAGATACCCACAGGGAAACATAAATCTGAAAAAAAAATTTCAGTGATACACATGACAAAATGAAGTATGTTGTAACAGTCAGGACAGAATCAGGAGACCTACCAGAATTTTCTTCTCAGGCAATTCACTTCCTTTTTCTAGATTCCTATTTCTTTATCCATAAAAGGAGACGGTTAACCCGTTGAAGCTTTGTTTCTGCATGAACAGACTGTTGGTGAAAGAGCCATCTAAGGAATTTCCATATTTGGGGAGCATTTCTCCTGCCTGCCTGGTCTTTTCCATTTACCTCTGAGTTCTCTGGGGAGTCTCCATAACTAGCCAATGGTTGTTATATGTCCTGGTGTTGAGCTCAGAAAAGAAACAATGCAATAGAGAAGACTTGTGTTATAAATCTGCCTTTCTAATATTTTAAAAAGATTGGTTTATTTATTTTTAGAGAAGATATAGGAGGAAGAAAGAAAGGGAGAGAAACATCAATGTGTGGTTGCATCGTGCAGACCCCCTGCTGTGGACCTGGCCCACAACTCAGGCATGTGCCCTGACTGGCAATTGAACCGGTGATACTTTGGTTTGCAGGCCGACACTTAATCCACTGAGCCACACCTTTTAACAAGGAAACTTTTATCAGGAAAAGTTGTTCCTCTTCAGAGCAACTCTTAGCTACTTTCTGCACTTTCATAGACATGCTTTTCTTCACATAGAGCATTGCCAGTGACCCCTGGATTCTCACTTCTGTCAGTGTATTCCCTGGAAGTCACTCCTCTGCTGGGATCTCCAGCATCTAGTTGTGGCCAAGATTGTTACTGGAATTCCAGTGTATTTGAGTCTGTTTGCGTGCATGCACTGGCGCAAAGAAATGCATGACAGGAGAGAAAGAAAAATAGTTTAATATTGAATTGGCCAATCCAGAGACAGGGAACTAATGCTAAAGATTCAACTATCTGTTGGCATTTAGGTTACAGATTGTATAGGGTAAAATCACAAAGTATTGTGGGTTACAGGGGTTGTGCTCACACTGAAAGCTGATTGGTGAGAGGTGAGATAAGAGTAATTAACCATTTCTTCATATCTTGAAAACAGTTCTGAGGCCTGCTCCTGCGTCCCCATGTTTGATTTCATGAGAAAATAACCAGAGATCAGTAACATAACTCAGGTCAAGATGTTACCTTGAGCCTGCTAGAGTTCCTGACCCTGTGATTGTCAGGTTCATGCCACTGCCTTCTAATGCCCAGGGGGTTGCTGATTATCAGGGGAAAGGCTTGGTCTCCGAGGGGTGTAAAGAGTAAAAGATACAGTTTCTAGAGCTAGGATTTAAGGCTAAATTTAATCAAAGTCATAAGAATTTGATCATAATTTTTTTGTAGCTCCTACCATAAGAGAGAGTTCTGAGCATGTAGTTGATCTCCTTTCTCATCTCCATTTCTAATGTTTTTCAAATGTCTTATGTAAGAGTGCTTAATAAATCATTGCACATTTATGGTGTGTCAGGATTAAGCCAAATACTTTTCTCTATATTTTAATGTAATCTTTATAATAACTCTTGAGGTAACTGCTATTATTCCAACTTTACAAGTGAAGAAATTGTCTTATAGAGATTAAAATGATTGCCCCAGGTTCATAAAATGATGGAGCTAAGATTCTAAAGCAGGTTGGCTTGACCCCAGAACCTATACTTACAACCCCTACAATGTTCTATGGATGCCCAGTTGGCCCTCATCTCCTTAACCCACTTGGGGCATTAGATGAACCAAGACCCAGAGACCATTAAAATTTGGTAATTTTCTATTTTTTGAAACTTTTTAGTAAGGACATTCTTTCACTTCCTTTGTATCTTGGTCAGCTTTTATCTTGTATCTTACATCCTATACTTTCTGGACTTCCTGAATGCCTCCTAAAAACCAGATTCCTTCCTGCTATGAATAAGACCAGCTCTTGTGTGCTTTCAGTGAGGTTTAGGAACACACCCTCTGTGTAGTAACTGCTCCCACAAAGGAAGTTTACTACTGGTATCATTTAGGCCCTATTCTCCAACTGAGTTCATTCGCACATTTATTGAACACTTGCTAACTTTAAGGTAGTTTTAGGCACCAGGAATACGGTGGGGATAAGACAGACAGACCCTGCCCTCATTGAGCAACACCCTGCTGGTAGAGAGCCAGTCCGTCCAGAGTTTCTAATAAATTTCATTTTTCCTGCTTTCTATCCAACAGCACATTCTTATGATGCTTGAGTTAAATCTGGTATTTGAAAAAATTACCCAATGATTCTTCTATGTGAACTTTTTACCCTGAATCCTACAGCCACACATGTTTGCAAACTTTAGATGTATGATGTTCTCCTTTCAGGCCAAGGGGAAGAAAATGAATATTAGTGAGCATGTGTAGTATGGGCTGGTATTTAAAGTACAGTGTCTTATTTAATCATCACAAAAGCATAAGGAGGCCAAGGTTATCATTCTCATTTTTCAGATGAAATACTTGAAGATTTTATAGATCAAATCCCAGAGTTCAAAAAAAAAAAAAACAGAATTTGGAGGTGGATACCAGGTGCAATGCAGAGGGCCTCCTTTTTTGCCTATGCGGGACAAGATTCATTCCCCTGAGCCCCAGCCATAGGTCAATGCTGGGGAGCAGCCAGCATTTTCCGGGCCTGGAAGATGGGTCAGAGCAATGACTGAATCATAACACAGCATTTTGTCTCTACCTACTGCCATGCCAGCCTGTTCATATGGAGTCAGGAGGTAGCCCCAGCGATGGTACTTCTACCTTCATAGTTCACTCCTGGATTCATTTTTTAAATTATTTTTATTGTAATTTCCCCCATTACCATTTATCCTCCTTATATTCTCTACCCCCAAAACTACCACAATGTTGTCCACGTTCATGAGTCCTTTTTCTTTTTTCAATCTTCAAACATTCTCTATTGACTGACAGGCAGATTTCATGTTAATGGGACAATTAGGTCACAGGGGAAGAAAGTTGAGCTGATAGTGAGGCAGAGAGGTTCCAGAGGCAAATTTTTCTATCTCCCAAAGTTGGAGTGTTGATCTTCATGCTCCCAACTCCAGACGATTTCCTCCAGGGACATATGCTTCTTGAATCTTTGTACTTAGCTACTCAGTTGGGACTGGGCCTCCACTCAGATGGCTGAAGATTGGAAGTCATAGAAACAGGATCTAAGGCCATACAACTCATAGAATGGACATCAAAGCATCATGATGTTATAAGCTTTTCTTTTATAAACATGTAATCTCTACATCCCAGTTCTCTAATCAGTTAGATTCGGCTTGGGAAATATTCCTCTATTTTAGCAAAATAATTTTATTTATCTAACCTTTTAAATTTAGTTTCTTATGAAAGTCTATAATGAACATAAATTACAGGAAATTTCAGGTACTACACTTTCTAAAAATTTATTTTTTAGTTGTATGTTTTAGGTGTTCAGTATATCTTGTATGATGTCTTATTTTTTAGGGTGCGAAGAAATAGGGGCTTATTTTATTTGAAGAAATGTAACTTGTCTGAATAAGTGATGACTTCATTGCTAATTGACCCCTCCATGCGATAGATGCTAACTGACATGTTGTTGGTCTTAGAATAAGGTCATGCTTATGTTTGTGGGTTTTGAGATAAATCAAAAGAAGATGATATCAACTATGAGTCACCCAAAGGATTTCATATTTGCAGAGGCTGGCCTAGGGACTATATAAAGAGTGACATTCAAGGAACTTGTTCTGAAAGGGAACAGAGTGGCTTACATTAAGTCGTTCAGAAGAAGTTTAGAATGAAGTTCTTTCTATTGACAATGGTCCTGCAGGCCATTGCTGCTTCTGGAGCTGCTTCTTTGATAAGCTCTGAAGAAAACCAAGATAAATTTGCTAGTGTAAGTATTAATGCTATAGTATTTATCTAGATTGATTTCTGTCTTAAGATTTATTGCACGACCAGTCTTATTTTGAGAAGAACTATTTGAAAACTAGATTAGCAGGCTATTTGATTTTGGCACTGAATTTTTCTTTGCCAAAGAGGAATGTAATGAAGAAGTATCGGTTTTAAAGGAGCATTATAAAATCGATGAGCGAATTTGTCCCTTCTACTAAAAAGCTTAGGCCATATAGTGCTAGTTCAAAATAATTGGTGTTCTACTTCTGTTCTGGTATTTCACATTAACCATTTAATGCTGGTTAATAATCTGAAACATGAGCAATGTCATAATTAATTTAGTCACTTAAGTCTGCCATAATAATTGAAGAATATTCTTTACTTTCACTATCTCAGATATTTTATTATGAACAGTTTCTAAAATATAAGTTTTTAATTTTTTATATGAGTTCAGATGATTTCCCATTTTCTAAGACTGTTTCAACTTTGAATTTGTCACAGTTGTCCATTGTATTGAAGGATTTCTATTTTTAAGCAAGGAATTTTTTTCTCAATTTAAATTAATAATTTATGCATCCTGACAATAAAGATTTTGAGGCTCAATGAATGCCATGATGTGCTAGATACACAAATAAGTTCTAAAAAGTAGAAACAGGTTTGAAGGAGTAAAGACATAAAGGTGTTTTCAGTGGGCTTCCAGAAATCAATCTTGCTAACAGTTTATGACACATTTTTGACAGCACAGAATATTTTTAATTTTTTTCATTATAATTGTATAATACCTGATTCAAAAACATCAGTGTACGGTTGAGTCATATATGCAGAGCTCCAACAGAAACCTTTAGATGTATAATAATGTAATACTGGATGTATTTTTTCCAGGATTACTTGATACGGTTTTACAACTTCGACCCGAAGAACATTCCAATGACAAAAATGAAAGTCAATACAAACTTCATGGAGAAAAAAATCCAGGAAATGCAGCAGTTCATGGGGTTAAATGTGACTGGGAAACTGGACAAATCGACTCTGGACATGATGCGCAGACCTCGATGCGGAATGCCTGACGTTCATCAGTTCACCACAATGCGAGGGAGGCCAGTATGGAAGAAATATTTTATCACTTACAGGTGAAGTCATAGCCATGCATTTTTCTATTTTCTCATAGGTCTGACTTCTAGAAACCTGAACCATTTAGATATAGCCCTAAATATTGTAGCAGATAAGAAGCCTTACTCAACTGTTAACACTATCCCTCTGCTTAAGTTCATTATCTCTGGAAGGGGATTGTTCATCCAGGGATCGTTCGATTTGCCAGTCCAGACCAGACTAAGAAGGCTGTGAATGAAAGAATAATGAAGTTAAATCTACAGTAAATAAGACACAGGAGAAAGTTGTATAGAATAGTCAAGATGAATAAATGCAGAAGTCTTGGAGGGGGGCAAAAGTCTTAAGCTTCTGTGAATGTATTTCTCTCATAATGGTGACCTATAAATCATAAGTAAGAATGAATCAAATTAGATTCTGTTTAAGGAGGAAGCTGTCCAAGGAAAAATGTCTCTGTAGTATAAAATTGTGTTCTTTTTTCTTTTTATCTGGACAATTAATTTATGAAATGTTTCATTCTCTAATGCTGCTAGTAGAAATGAGGTATCATAAGAAGACAAAATTAACACATGGTTTCCATATATTTTTCTCTTGGCTGATAAAGGATCAATAATTACACTCCTGACATGAAGCGTGAGGATGTTGACTATACCATCCAGAAAGCTTTTCAAGTATGGAGTAATGTGACCACCCTGAAATTCAGAAGGGTTAACACAGGCGAGGCGGACATTATGATACATTTTGTACTTGGAGGTAGAGAACTTGGACTTACTTCATCTGTATCATTTGACATGACCTATAGCATATATAAAAGGACTGATTTTCTTCTCTTTTTAACAAGCTCATGGAGACTTCAGTCCTTTTGATGGCAGAGGTGGAGTTGCAGCTCATGCTTACGGACCTGGACCTGGTATTGGAGGAGACGCACATTTTGATGAGGCTGAATTCTGGACTAAAAACTACAGAGGTAGGCAAACAAACAAAAACACCAAAAGAAAAACCCCTAACAAATTCTAAATTGCATCATTTTGTTAAATCATTTCGAAAGGCTACTTTCTGAGGATAAAATTTTTGTTCTGATTATGATTTAACCACTAAATAAAAAGTAACTTTGTCTCAATTTTATACTCTATAAATTGAGGATATAGGCTAGATTATTTAAAGATCAGTTCTTAGAATCTGAGGATGAGCTAGTTGGTTAGCATAAACTCACGAACCCTAAGAACTAGAGTATGTAAAAGTAAAAGTTGTTAAGTGATCAGTTTTACAATGCAACCCATAAACTCAAGACAACACAGATGCTAATTTCGTGTATGCTAACAATCCTAAAACAGTGTGGTCATCTTCATGATTCATTATAGGGTGATAGTTACTTAGATTTATAGTGACACAGAAAGATGATGCTAAAGAATTTAGAGGTCCTTGTAGAGATACACAATGTTATGTGGCCATGCAAGCCACTTGTTCTGGGACAAAAATTTCAGAATGCCCAACTGATCATTGAATGATACTCTGTATGTATTTACAGAGGGGCTGTAAGTCTCCATTCCTATGAAAGAGTTGGGAGATTAATTAGTCTCTGTTTAGAGGAATCACTGTCCATTGGAAAAGTTAAACTATCGTATCAGAAGTCTTCTTAATCTCTCCACTGGAAATCCTAGATTATATAACTGGCTCATGTGGAAAGTAAATGGAAAGAAAGTCATCAATAATGTGTTTTATTCAGCATCCCCTTTTCTCCGGCTGATAATTGTCAACATTAGTTGGCAATATTTTATAGATCAGAAATACTAGTTGTTTTAGTCTGACACATGGTCTAAAACTTACAGAATTCTTGAGTGACAAAAGCAGTTTTACATTGTCAAAAGACAAATTATATAAGATTAGGTTTTTACTAAGCTGAAAATTCTCAGGTAGACATGTTAAATTTGCCTAAATTTTATACAAGGGAATTTGAGTTTTATAATAATTTCATCTGGTATGGGAGACTTGTGCTACTTAGCTAGAATATTTTGAAATTCTAAAGGGCCATGGAAAAATCATTTAGCAAAGTTTTTTACAGTCAAGGGAAAGTTAATGGCTAGCTTGTGGAAAAGCTGGGGTCAGAACATGCATTTTCTAGTTCTTGGTCCAATGTGTACTTTCTAACTGTCCATGTTGCCTTATTTTTAATTGTTTTGATTATATATTTTCAAAAAGTTAAATTATTTATAAAAATTCTAACTTAAAGTGCTCATTATCAACATAATTTTTGACACATTAAATTAATAAACAGTTCAATGATTATTAAATTTCTATTATAGTTTAGCTGATGCTATACAGGTATTTGGCTACTGAGATGAAAAGGACCCAGTCCTGCCCTGGAAGAGCACACAATCTAGCAAAGCACAGAACACAAACAGAAATTCATTATTTTAAGATAAGGACCAGTCCTGGTCTCTTATACAAAGTATTATAGAAACTGGGAATAAGTTAAATTTACGTTTAGGCCAAAATATAAAAGGCTTTGTTTACTCTTCCCTGTATTAGGCAGAGTGGAAAGAATGCCAAAGTCTATATTTTTTTCCATTATTTGAGAGAAGTTAAAGCATTTCTGAGTTAGTTACGAAACCCCTGTGTTACGAGAAATGTTCCTAGACACCCCCAAGAGGGAGGTGTAGGTTCTATGTTCACACTTGGGTGCTGGAGAGTATTTCAAGTCCGGGCTCTGAGGCTAGCTGGGATGTGATTCTAGGCAAGACAGTTCTGAGATTCAGTTTTGCCAGAGAAGAAGAAAGGCAAAAGTAAATGTATTAAATTAGCACACAGATTAAACACTAACAGTAAGGGGTTAATCAAGTCTTCCTGGATTTGAGAAACTTAACAGAAAGGACACACCCCTCTTTCTTACCTAAAAGGTGCATCCTCTGGGGCATAAAGAATAAATGAATAGGCATGACTATAATTTGGCAGTGCACATGTGTGTAATTTATAAGTATAGTCTCTTATTTCATTTAGATCATGTGTAGAAAAAGGATGAGCTTTAGAGCTAAAAAATTTGGATTTGAATCTTAGGTTCTTGGGTCAGCTCTTAATTTGGTCAATTAATCTTGCTGATGCTGTGTCCTCATCTTAAATAGAGAGTATGGTGGCTTCCTATCAGTTGTATAAGGATTGACATAATGTGGTGTATTTCTCAGTGACTCATAGTACCTGGAAATTAATATGACCTTTTATTTGGGTTTAGTAAAGAATGGTTATGAAAGACTTTTTAATATATCCACTCAAGACTAATCAAAACTAAAGGCAGAATGAAGGGGGAATGATTTAGAGGAAATAAGAACTATTGAACACAGCTATGAGTTGTTCTAGAAATTTTCACAATGTAATATATTCCATTTGTGTGATAGTGTAGTGGTCCTTAACCAGAGGCAATTTTGCTCCCAAGGGGACATTGGACAATGTGGGGAAACAGTTTGGTTGTAAGAAGGATTTACTGAAGAAGCAAATCTTCAAAACTGAAGAAGGATTTGCTACTTATTTAATGGTAAACCAGAGATTTCTAAACAACTATAACAAACAATTATCTGGCCTAAAATGTCAATAGTGTCAGGGTTGAAAAACCTTGTGCAAGGAGGGAAATAAGTAAAGGATTCCCAAATGTTTTTTTTCATGGTGTCAGATTTAAATTGTGTTATTGTCTTCTAAATGCCTTTATATTTTGTTGCTCTTTTCCCTTTCTTGTTGGTTTCCTCTTAGGCACCAACTTGTTCCTAGTTGCTGTTCATGAGTTTGGCCATTCCTTGGGTCTTGGCCATTCCAATGATCGAAAGGCCATAATGTTCCCCACCCTCAGTTATGTTGATCTTAATTCATTTCCTCTCTCTCCTGATGATATACGTGGCATTCAGTCTCTCTATGGTAAGTTGAATTTATTTACCATTTTGTCTTATAAACATACTCACTCTTATGAATGAATAGTTTTATTATGTCTGCATTTAGATAAAACCTTAATAACTACATTTGCTTTTGAACCCTATGAAAATTCTGTGAAGTAGATAGCACAGATATTATATTCATTTTTACAGATGAGCACCATACCTACCAAGTTAATGTCAGAGATCTAAGGCAGAACTAAGCTTTCTGGCTTCAAATCTGTTCTGTCTATCTAACAACATTGTCAATTAGAGAAGGCACACAGAGAAATAATTTAACTGGAACAAAAAAACTAGAGCGAACCCTGGCTCGTGTAGCTCAGTGGATTGAGCATAGGCCTGTGAACCAGAGGATCGAGGTTCAATTCCCAGTCAGGGAACATGCCTGGGTTGCAGGCCAGTTCCCAGCAGGGAACCCGTGAGAGGCAACCATACATTGATATTCTCTCCCTCTCTCCTTCCCTTCCCCTTTAAAGATAAATAAATAACATATTTTTTAAAAAAGATTTAAGAAAAACAAAAAAAACAGAGTGAATAGATTATTTTTCTCAACAATGTTGCAAATACACAGGGAAAAATCTTTATGTTTCCTGTAAATGTTAAAAAATCATAAATTGCTTTCTATGCATTTTTAAGAAAATTAAATGTTTTGAAATTGTTGTTCAATTACAATATTTGTCCCCATTTTTCCTCCATTAGTCTCCTCCATCCTCCTCACTCTCACCTTCCACATTCAAGCCCCCCCCCCCCCGCCCCATTGTCTTTTTCCATGGGTCCTTTATACACTTCCCTTGATTTGACCTTTCCCCTTCTGTCTCTTGTTCTCTCCCTCCTCCCTCCCCTCTGGTCACTGTCAGTTTGTTCTTTATTTCCATGTCTCTGGTTCTATTTTGCTTGCTTGTTTGTTTTGTTGATTAGGTTCCACTTACAGGTGAGACCGTATGGTATTTGTCTTTCACTGCCTGGCTTATTTCACTTAGCACAATGTTCTCCAGTTCCATCCATGCTGTTGCAAAAGGTAGGATTCTTCCTTTTATGATCTAAAGTGCATATTTCTTTCTAATGTTTCTTGAAATGTTTTTTTCAGGAGGTCCAGAAAAAGACAAACCCTCATTAAATCCTAACACTGGAGGATCAGCTGCCTGTGATCCTAATATGAAATTTGATGCTATCACTACAATGGAAAATAAAATCTTTTTCTTTAAAGACAGGTAGGATCGTTTTTATACCTGACCAAGTGCAAAGGTTCTGTCCTAAGGTGGTTTTTGTTGTTGTCATTGTTGAAGACTAATAGAAAATGATGGAAAATTAAGTAGATGAAAATTATTAGTAGGGACTTGGACTTGATTCTGTAGGCAGTGGAGAGATCTTGAAGATTTTGAAGCAAGACAGTGGTGTGATTATATTTATGTTTTAACTGGAAAACTGGCATTAAATACTGGGTTTGCAGTAGGAATCTGGGTTGGAGAAAGATAAAACAGGAAACAAAGAAGCCAGATGATTTTAATCATGGATAAAAATAGTGTCTGGAACCAAAGCTCTGACAGAGTACCTATTTAAAGGATTTGATTCTTGATTAGAGGAAAGGGAATTCCAGGATGATTTCTGGTTTCTGTCTTACAACACAGACTGAAGCAGATATTGGTGGTGTATGGAAGATTAATATTTGGTAGAGAGGACAAGTATCCTTCATTTTTGAAACTCAAAACCTGAGACACTTGAGGATAAGTGACCAATAAATGGATTTTGGGACCAGACTACAACCTAGATCTCTTGATTCAGAGATCCAGATTATTTCCATATAACAGTTTGCCTGTTAATACCATCGTTATTATCAAAGAATTGATTAACAGCCTTTTCTTGTGGTATTCCTACTCAGACATCCAGGGAACAGCATATGAAGATAATGGGAAGGAAGAAACATTAAGTCATTTTACAGGTCCTTTCCACCGACCTTTCATGATGATTCCTGAGTCTACAACTATTTTAAACATGTATTTAATGTTTTACATGTCAGGTTCTTCTGGTCGAAGCTTCCTACGAGTCCAAAAAGCAATGCTAGTTTAATTTCTTCTTTATGGCCAACCTTACCATCTGGTATTCAAGCTGCTTATGAAATTGGAGCTAGAAAAAAAGTTTTTCTTTTTAAAGGTAATTTCAATTTTTAGTTTTGCTATTTAGTTTACTTCAGGGAAGAGAATAAATTATGGAAACACTACTTTTTATAAATGAAGACCAAAAAGCACTCCAAGTTGTATTAATTGTACTCTGAACTATTACCTAAAAGAGATCAAATACTTAGATATCACATAAAACTTTCAGTAAAAATTTGTAAAATATACCTGCGGGGGAAAATACAGAATCATAGGTGGTGGGCCACGTTCAAGAACAAAGAACAACACATTTTGGAACTTTGGGGAAAGAATGAGGTTTGTAGTGAGTCAGTACATATTTCTATTACTCTTTCTACATGATTGCAATGTACCTTTTTTCTTTGTGTTTACAGATGATAAGTACTGGTTAATCAGCAATTTAAAACCACAGCCAGGCTATCCCAAGAGTATACATTCCTTGGGATTTCCTGACTTTGTGAAAAAAATTGATGCAGCTGTTTTTAACCCATATCTCTATAAGACCTACTTCTTTGTGGATCATCAGTATTGGAGGTGAGCTTTAATGGTTAATAATTTGAACTCTAAGATTTTTGAAACAGGCAAGGCATGGGATTTTTCCAGAAGACAGTTTGCTCTGCAAATTCCCAAATATCCTTGGCCTTCCTGGGAAAAGGATCAAGAGACTATAGGACTGGAATAACTGTTTTCCTTCTCTGGACCTTTGGGTTCTGATCTACTAGATAACAAACAATGTGTTTTAAAAAGAACACTTTAAATAAAATGTCATGTATCAATCACAGTGGAAACACATTGGACAATAGTGGTAGAGATGTGTGGGACCTGGTCTTTACAGCCAGTTTAGAGGGTTTACAGAGTTTCAGATTCCCTTCCATAACCATTGGACTCAGGAAGATAAAATGAGGAGACCATCCTCTGAGGGATAGCTGACCCTGCAAGGTCTTTACTGACAGGGACTTAGACAACCAGTCTCTATAAAGCAGTACTGGGCACTGGTGGAAGCATAGTGGAGGCATGAGGAAACTGTTTGACTAGAAGTCAGGAAGCCTTGGATTAGAGTCCTAGTGGGACTTGAAATGTATCAGTGAACTGTTTAGGTCCTTGAGTTTCCTTTCATTGTAGTTTAAACCCTTTTTAGTAAGAGCCTTTCAGGAGAGGAATAGGTGGGTTTTGTTGTTCATGTCATGAAATGTCAAGTTTATGTCATGAGATCTATTTCTGATGGAGTTCCCGCTGATTATTTTTATGTATGTATGTATGTATGTATTTATTCAGGTATGATGAAAAGAAGCAATTCATGGACTCTGGTTATCCCAAATTGATTACCACACACTTTCTAGGAATTAAGCCTAAAATTGATGCTGTGTTCTATTACAACAGTAAGTAGATTAGTAGATTAGTGAAGATACTTGAAATCCCCCTTTAAAACACTGCCATTTATACTTTTTTTGTACCTGCATTCTTTACCTTCCTTTTAGCTCCTTTCACACTTTATGGGTTCCCATGGACTGGGGTTGTGGGTGGGATGAGGAAGCTTGAGTTCGTTTGAGTTTGTGTTTGTGAATGTCTTTAAGCAAGGTGACCCTCAGCAAAATTGTTGACTGGGCCAAGATATTTTGTTTTTTTTTCTTTCCACCCTTATGTTCTTTTCACTTCTTTTGTCAAGCATTCTTTGTGTCCTATCTGAATTCGACTGAGTTCTCTACCTGGAGTATAACTTTTCAAAAACCATCTTCATGTTAACAACCTTCTCGATAAAATTAATGAAGATATTTAATAGTGAAATGATTGGAAGTAAGCAGATATCTGGGAGCCAAGGGACCCAATATTTATGTACTTGAATAAGGTCTTGTCTAATCTAGATAATCTATAAAAACACACAAGTCTATGTTATCTTTTTTCAAAGAAATACAAGCAGAAAATTAAACTATTCTTTTTTTTTTAGGACACTACTATTTCTACCAAGGATCTAATGTACTTGAATACAATGTCCTACACCATCGTGTCACCAAAAGGCAGAGAAGCAGCATTGACTTTGATTGTTAGAAGTGGTATAATTACTGGTGTTTGTCAATTCACTTCTATTTAATCAGTATTTATGGCATACTTGTTACATGCCCAGTGTACCATTAAATCATGACATGTATCATAAAATAAGATAAAATATGTTGGACATAGATAAATGATCATATTGGTAAATTATTATACAAAACACATACGACTTTATTATTGGAAAACTCTCATTGTCAGTTTTTACTTGACTCTGCTATTAAGTTTGAAATTAGAGAACTTCGGTGGACAAGAGCATATCTTGGTCCCTAACATCCTTATACTGAGATTATAATTATTTCTCTGGCTTAACCAAAATTAAGCAATGATTCATTTCTTTGACCATTAAATGTTTCCACAAGTGTATAATTTTAGTTGGAGTAAAAGTAGAATATACCTAGAACTGAAAAATGACAATAATGTAAAATATGATGAAATTATATAATTATGGTGATAATGTAATATTATTATATTGACAATGTTGACTTTTCTAATATTTTGCATAAAGTATATATTTATGTTGTTCAATAAAAGTATTTAAAGAAAGTATTTGGTTTTTAAGAATTTTTCTTAAAAAATGGAAAGTGTACTTGAAAATAATTCTGGACCTACTCCTAAATAAAACTAGTCTCTGTGATTACACTAAAGGGTGAATAGAAATATGGCAACTGGGAAAAAAAGAAAGTTGTATTTGCTTTGGCTACTTGTTTAAAGCCACATGAATACTTAGTCTCAAGTCCAGTAAACTTCTCCAGGCTTCATACGGCTACAGGATGACCTATAGTGTATGACCACAAACCTCAAGAGAAGAGATGAAATAAGAACTTCCCATTTTGGCAAAATTTCCATTGCAGATCAAGTCTCAAAATATGGTCCAATAATTGCTATATGACCTTGGCAAGAGCTTGGCAATCTAAGCTTCTTTAAATTTAGGAGAAAATATTAGTGGTACCCATCTCATAGATTTATTGTAGACAAAGTGATTAATGATACATTGCAAGAACATCATGCTGGTAGCTCAACCTGCCTTTTATCAATTTTCTCCACTACTTTGACACACATTCTCCCTATCTTCTGGATTGTACACATATGATAACTTCCTCCTATGTCTTACAGATTTATGGAATGCTTACAGTTTTTAATTTATTTGCAGACCATTGTTGATTGATGTACTCATGGTCCAGGAAAAGATCAAGTTCGTTTTGGCTCAGATGATTGTTTTTCACTGGTAGAATGAACTGAATCAGGAAATATATGAGGATCAAAAAGAATATAACTGGAGATGGAGCTCTCTGTCCTTCATAGCTTAGATCCATTCTCAAGTATTATGTGTTCCTTCAGTATAATAATCCTAGAGTTGTCTTTACAAGAAATAGGGTCAAGTCATCTTTAGAGGAAATGTAGTTTCCCTATAAGAAACTAAATGCTGGACTTCCTTCAAAAGAAGAAACTTCTTGCACAGTTTCTTTAGCATAGAAAGAAAACTTAACGGTGTCTGGGTTGAGGTGTCTTTGGCCTTAGGTCATTCAGAACTAAGTGGTTCCTTTTAAACAATGGCTATATTCAAGTAAAGACCCTGTGTATACACCTCTCAGTTTCATGAGTGTTCATGAAAAATGACTTTAAAGATTTAAAAGTGAACACTTTTTCCTTCTACCTCCATTTGTGTTACGTTGTAAAATTTTATAACTAATCCTTATAATATTAAATCTATACCACACATTGTTTTAAGTTCTGCACACACACAGAAAATAATCTTTAAATTAAAATAATAATAATTAGTGACTATTTATTAGTAAATAATCACCTAATCATTAAAATTATGAAGTAAATACTGCCATCTATATTTTTCAAAGGAGGAATGGAGGCACTGAGAGGTGAACTGATTTGCCTAAGATCACATAACCTTGGAGCTGCAATTCAAAGCTAGGCATTTTGGTTCCAGAATTTGTGTTATTAACCACTACAAAATTCTGCCTTTCAAATTTACAAAGTAAAAAAAAATCAAATAAAGTAAAAACTCCTGACATGTCATGCTATTTGTACTTTTACTTGACCTTTCAATCAAAAACTCATTAGCATGTCATAGGAACTTTTTGTGTGTCCAGCCTGGGGAATACCATTTTATAATGGAAGAGGTAGTAGTAATATTTTATTAATGTCAGGAAAAAATGTCCAAGACTTGGAAATATCAGGTATCTTTACAATGGAGTGTTGGACACTGTCTGATAGATCTTCTGGAGAGTAATTTCATGAGAATCTGAACCTGATGCAGGTGTTCTGGGGATTGGGGGCCCCAAGGGTCCCAGACATGCTGTGGATTCTTGGCTGCCCACAGGGAAGAATTCAAACATGGGCCAACATAGAGTTTAAAGTAAACATGAGTTTATTAGTGAAGTAGGAAGACAGAGAATGGACTACTCTGTAAGACAGAGCAGCTCTCCTTTGGCAGAATTTGAATCCTTTACTGGGGTTCTTTTAATTGAGGGGGTATGGTATTCGATAAGGGGAAGGAATATTTAGGATCTCCCCAGGAAAGAGGTAGACATTGCTTGGAGGAGCTCCCTCTGCCATTTTGGTCCTTATTTGGGCTTTGTGATTCTGACCATGGCTGTGAGGGGTGTGTTGTTTAGCATGCTAATATATTAAAATGAGTGTGTAAGACTAAGGGTTACTGTTAGGTGAAATTAATCCTTATGTTGGATAAAGCTTGTATCTGTCAGTTTTAAGGCATAAATCCAGTGTAGAGTGATCTTACTTCCTTGTTGACAATTTCTGTACTTTGTATAGACTGCCGCTCTTTTAATATATTTTGAAATATTTTATTTACTTATTTTTAGATGGGGGAAAGGGAGAAAGAAGAAAAGGGAAAGAAACATTGATGTGTGGTTGCCTCTCATGCACCCCTCATCAGAGACCTGGCCCAGCATGTGCCCAGGCATGTGCCCTGACTGGGAATCCAACTGGTGATCCTTTGGTTCACAGGCCTGCACTCAGTCCACTGAGCCACACCAGCCAGGGCAGACTGCAGCTCATTTGCCACATACCTTATTTCACACGTTTGACTATTCATCAACCAGTCTATGATATAACTCTGTAAGAATACAAATAATAGAAAACCAATAACAAGCAAATGGTATTTTCTATAGCAATGCAAATAAATATTATCTTGCTTCCAGTCAAGATGGTGGTATAGGTAAATGCAGTACTCTGAACTTCCAACAACCACATCAGAATTACAAGTAAAATTCAGAACAACCATTACTGAGAACTGCCTGAAATCTAGCTGAACAGAAGTCCCATAACTAAGGAAATAAAGAAGAAGCCACATCTGGTAGGAGGTGCTGAGATGCAGAACAGGCTGGTCTAATATCCATCTGTGGCAGTTAAAAATCAGGAGGGATGGCTTAGCTCTGAGGGCCTTCCCTGAGGAGCAAGGGGTCCTGGCCCACAGTAGGGCCATGGCCCAGGGTTCCAGTACTGGAAAGAGAAGTCCTCATAACTTCTGGCTGTGAAAATTGTTGCTGAATAAGATGGATGGTTCCCTCTCTTAAAGGGCCCAAACATGTACTTACTTGGGTTCACTCACTGTGAGCTCCAGTGTTGGGGCAGCAACTCAAGAGGTGCATCAGGGACATATGGGAAGGAACTGAATAGTATGGATTCAGGATGAGGGCTAGAGAGGCAGCTTTCTCCCAGACAGAAGTGCCGGCAAAAATCATTTTTCCTTTGCTGAACTCTCCCCTGACAAAGCTGGCAGGCAACACTATACCTGAGTCTCCATCAACCTCGCTAACACTGTTTGCCCTGCCCTGATGATCCTCTGAGATCCCACACAACTTTCAAACCCACTCAAGCCATAACCAGTGGCTATTCCATACAAACAGTCTGTCTTAGCCCATACTACAAACTTTTCTAAAATCTTTTAAAGGTTCAAAACCCCCAAATAAGCAGCATCTGGCCTCTTTGTGCCCTGTACCTCTTGTTAAGTGGCCCCAGGCTGGCAGTAGTGACAGCCAACCTCAGTTTGCATCTTGGTCTCTCCTGGTCACCACTAAGCAGAACACAAGTAGTAGCCATCTGCAGATTGCTTTGTAGCTCATGCTGAGTGGCCCTGGGCAGAACACAAGTGGCAGCTGATGTTGGCCTGTACCTCCTAGGAAGCCCCATTGCAAAAGCACAGGGTGGTCAGCTTCAGACAACACTGAGTCACCACCCAATCATCTCCACCAGCATACACGCTCAAGGTCAGATTAATCAGAGTGCTCCATGGTGTTGACCCATGCGCAGCAGCTACTCTGTAATAGCCAGTCCTCAGAGACAATTGGCCTAATGATAAATCTCTTCCATCAACCTACCAACAGCAATCAAGGCTCAACTACAAAAGGAGGATGCACACAGCTCACAAGGAGTTATACCTCAGGGGTGTCTTGAGAGGCTATGTCAGTGGGCCCTATAGGACACTTACTAGATAAGGCCACTCTACCAAGAGAGGGAGTTGTACCAGCTCTACCTTACACATAGAAACAAACATAGGGAGGCAGCCAAAAATAAGACAAAGAAATATATCCCAAATGAAAGAACAGAACAAAACTCCATAAAAAGAACAAAGCAAAATGCAAACATCTACTAGATGTAGAGTTCAAAACACTGCTTATGGGCATGCTCAATGATCTAAGTGAAAACTTCAACAAAAAGATGGGAAACATAAAAATGGAGCTAGAAAAAATTTAAAAGAACCAATCAGAAATGAAGAATACACTAAAAGAAATGAAGAATACATTACAGGAAATCAACAGTAGAGTAGATGAATTAGAAGATTAAATTAACTATTTTGTGGGGGTGACTTCTTTGTGAGTCCCCCCAGTGCCATGGACACGAGTGAATAAATATGGCTGAGACATGCTGAGATCTGTTTGGGGAGGAGAAGTGGGCTGAGGCCAGTTTCTCAGGGGAGACAAAGGCTAGCAGCAGCCAGTTTCTCTGAGGGAAAAAGGCCCCAAGCACCTTCCTCCATAGCCTTTTATTGGGTTGTAATGCACAGGAATACAGGGCGGCAAGGATCAAACAGTAGATGACATTTCAAAGAAATCTGAGGGCTTCAGAGTCTGAGTCAGTGTCTGTCAGGAAGAGAGTTGCAGAAACTTTGGGAGACATACTCATTTCCTCTCGAACCCTTATCATATGAATGAAAGCACTCTTAGCAGAGCAGATTTCACAGGTCTATCAGCAAGTCTTTGTGATGCCAGATTTTTCCCCAGGACATACTCTAGCAAGGCAAGGAGCTGCACCTCTCCCCAACAGGTATTCAGGCTTAAGGGGATTAGAGCCAGGAAGTACTTCTCCCAGAGGACATGGGGACTCAAAAGCCAGGGGGTGAGAGTCCATTGCTCTCTGTTGCAGCCCC